TATTGTAGGCAGATATTTTGAGAAATTGACTCAATTAAAAAATTTCGACCAGAATAATCAGTTTCAGGACTCCTGGTTATTTTTTGTTGTTTTTTTTTTTTTTTTTCTGATGTTGGGTGTCAAAAAAAGGCACAGGCGGGCGCTAAACTTAGGGGAAAAACTTTGAATGGCCTAAAAAAAATCTTAAAAAGAGAAAAGCAAAATGTGTAAAGATTTTATATATCAAAGGAAAAGAAAAAAAACTTTATCAAAAGATTTTCATTTTCTTAAAAAGATCAATTTTACCTAAGTAATTTCACATAGACCCGTATGGAAAAAGTATCATTTTCTTAAATAGAAAGAAATAAACAGATCAATCTATAATAAAATGCATTTTGACAAGAGATCCATTTACATACTTGAACATATACATTAAAGTGGTAACCGTAATAATTCGAGAAAACTGTTTTATTGAACTAATTCAGCAATTTTTAAGGAATCAATTCTTAGAATTAACAGAAGTCTAGGACTCTGTTAACAGATTTCATTTAGTTTTAGTTTTTTTCCCGTATTTTGTACATCTCACTTTATGGGAACTAAAGCAAATATACATACTAAAGTAACAGACATTCCCCTAATATACACGTACATAATCCAGCTTTGAATAATGATTTGAAAAAAAAAAAACATTTCAAACGGGTGATTTAATGTGATAGAAACACTATTCCCCCCCCCCCCCCAAAAAAAAAAAATTCATATCATATAATATTTAAACTGAAATAATACTCCATTGTACATGTGATAAAGAGGATAACAACCTTTTTTAGACAAATATGTAAATTACAACATTGTTTTGTTTACTAATCAAAGGATAAAACGCTCTACATGTATTAAATCTAATCAAAATTTTCTTTGATACTCACTTTTAAGGAAAAATTGTTATAACTTATGTCTTACCAGAAAAACAATCTTTAGCTTCTTTCAGGAGGAAGGTAATAACATCTCTCAGGATGAAGCTCTGTCATTCAGTTAACTGACAGGTGACAGAGTTCTGCCATTCAGTGACTTTTCCAGATCTTTCAGTGACCTTTCAATTGACTGAATGGTGTAGCTAGGTTCATCCTGTAGTAAATTAAAGAATTGGTACATTGTAATCAGAAATGTGAGAAAGTAATCGTGTCATGTTATTTTTAACTCGGAATTAACATCCATATGGTTGGTTTGTTTAAAACGAACGAAACAAATAAATCAAATTAAATTATTTTGTATGTCTGATAAGCTTTGTAAAATGCAGATGTTCATAAAATAAAAATGAAAAATTGCTACATGTATTTTAGGAAGATGATCAATCAGGCAATCTCTATACAAGCATTGTGAGCCGACAAAGCAGAGGCATAGAAGATGGATCTGATTATGATTTGGGGGTAATCCAGCGACAAAAAAAAAATGTGTTTAAGGGAAAGAAGGACCTTTAGCTGAAAAAAATACTTGTCATTCATGTTTTTTTATATTTTGTATATTTCTTATTAAGTATGTCCCACATATCTTAAAGCAGTTATATCATTAGGTTTCTTACCTTATTTTAGAGATATTGATTGACAAATATTATGCCCTATAGTATCTAAGTGGAGTTTTAATTCTCCATGTTTCCATGTTTACTCTGTCCATTATTGGATTTTTAAAGCATATATAAAAAATATGTAAGTGAACATGTATCTTTTAAAAATATTTCAGAGTATGAATTGGGTTTAAAATTCGAAAAGGCAAGTTTCATCTATCACACTGCATCTGGATAGGGAAAATTAAGAACTTTTTAAGACAACTGAAACAACAAAAAACGTAATTTACAAAAAATCCTATCATTCAATATTTTTAAATATACGTTTAAATGCAAGTCCTTTAAATTATTGATTAACTGTAAAAATTTCGAATGGTGAAGCTGACCTCAATATTGCACAGGACATCGTTAAAGACGACATAAGCAGGACAAAAACTTGTCATGTTTACATTTCTCGAGTACGGGAAAAACCAACTATGACGTCACACGTAAGCTAAATAAGCGAAATAAGATATACTTACATAAGATTTCCGTCATCAGCCATGCAAAAATAATTTTTGTGTTCCTCGTTTCTCAAAATACTTCATCATAATTATACTGATTATGGCCTGTTTTTACATAATAATACCGCCCTTGTATTCACCGAGTATGATTTTGCTGTACTAGCAGATCGTGTATCACGTCACCGACTTGTTGGACGCGCAGTTTAAAGAAACCGAGGAGTGGATCAATCTTTTTTTTATGGGTGTTGCTAAAACGCGGAACGGAAAACGGAACGGAAAGCGGAACGGAAAACGGAAAATATGATACCAGTTTAAAGGTCTTGAAAATATAATAAATTATACCAAAAGCAATATATATTGTATATGTTGTTCATATTTAACCTTGATTATCAAGAACAAGTTGAGCTATTCATGTATATTCTCATATTATGAAGTTTCATGTACAAAAGGGAAACATAGGGTACGGAAAACATAAAACATAATGCCGTACACATCGATGGTATATATGAAACGTTGTGGTAAATTATGAGTAAATTAACTTTATAAAAGACCACTCTGGTCAACATAAATAGACAGGATTCGATATTTATATGAGCGAACACAGCATAATTTTAAATGCACAGGCACCTAAAGCGTGGATAACCATGATATTGTACACCTCTAAATTCATCCTTCACCCACCCACCCTCCGTATCTGGCCAAATCTTAAAACTGGAAAACAACACAGACCGATTGTACAGAATAACATTCAAATTGCTATGATGGAGAAATCATACATTTTCCAAAAGAGAACTCTCGTAATTCATTATTTGGTAGGGAGGGAGGATGATGCATAGATGTAGCCTACGTTGTCATCGCTTAAAGTGCCCGATGGTAGATAGCGCGGATCTAGGATATTTTTCGGGGGGGGGGGGTGGTTTACACCCCAGTCCAAAAAAGCGTTTAAAAGTTGTTTAGTACTTTTCCCATCGACTTCACAGGGCTCTGTGTTTTCCCGGGGGGGGGGGGGTCATTTTTCTTTTATTTACTTTACTATGTACAAGTAATAACTCATTTCAGGGGGTCCGAACCCCATCCCGAACCCCTCTAGATCCGCACATGCCTTTTGTTGTAAAAAGCGTGTCTTCTATTCTTTCCTTAATGCCAGTGATCGTTGTCTAGAACACCAATGTGTACATGATTATTCTCTTTCTCTGCCCCCCCCCCTCCTCTTTTGAAACGACATTGCCTGTTTCATAATAATTGATCAAAAAAGAGAGTTCAGTCTTTGATGAAAAAGCTTTAAAAATTATATTTTTCAGATAGATACTTGGGCTGTGTGTATAATTATTATGTATTTCTTTGACCACCGCATGCATGTAGTTTTTTTTGGGGAGGGGGGAGGGGGTCATAAATAAATTACATTGTTATGCATTTTTTAATGAGATATAATCTGTATGATAAAGAATACTGGTTCCTATCCGATTTATACATGCATGAAATAAATAATTTGATATAAGATTTTCCGTTCCGCTTTCCGTTCCGTTTTCCGTTCCGCGTTTTAGCAACACCCTTTTTTATAATTTGCTAATGTTTACAAGAATGTTAAACTTTTTATTTTTTTTTTTTTTTGATATAAGATGGTAATTAAAGAAAAAAAAATGTCAAAAATTTATACAAGAACTGATGCTTTACAAGTTTTGAACTTATATAAATGCAGACTGTGACGTAGTTTAACAAAGTCATGTGACCATGTGTCCTTCATCCCCTTAAATATCTTTATTTAGAATACCTACTCTACTTTCAAAGAATGAAGATAGAAGTTAAATATTTAATACACCTAAACCAGATTTTTTTTTAATTCTGGAAAAGATAAATTATGTTAAAGGGGTGAAATATTGTATTTTAGTATAATTAAGTTATACAAAATTTCGTATAAATATGTATTTTATTTATTTATTTTTGCTATGTAGATAGGGTGCAGCTCTGGAAAAGAAAATGAAGCATACATGTACGACACAATAGGCGATGTTGATGACGGAAAAAAGAAAGATATTGTGAAGGAAGGCAATGAAGCCCCAGAGGTAAATACCGAATCCATATTTATCAAATCAGGGAGCGATAGTTTTTTCGTAATTTTTAAGCAAACAGTTGGATGTGAAAATTAGCGTAAAATAACCATTTCAATTACTTTTTTTCACTATTTATTTTAAGCCGAGAGACACGCCTGAAAGCACAGTCAGAATAGGATTTTTGACAAAAAAGAGACTTGTTCTTGGAGCTGTTTTGGTAGTTATAATTGTTGCTATCGTGGCAATTGCTATTTTACTTACTGTTGGACGGGATGGAGATGAGAATACAAAGAGTACGTGATATATACAATATGCGTGTATGTACATATGTAACTATTAAAGGTTAAGAAAAATGAAGAGGAAAATGTGAAAATAAATGTGCATAATGAATAACTTTTTTTATAATTTGAGTTTATTTACATAAATTGAAATAACCAATCTGCATTGAACTTTATAAGTGTTCAAATACATGGGTATTGCACTGATTGGTTTCGATTTGTTAAATAAGAGACACAAATATATATTACTTAACTATTTTTGAGATTTATTTTAATAATAGAAACATATTCAATCAATCTGTATTTAAAATTAAAGCAGGTAAAATGGCATCGACCGTTGGGATGAGCGAAGTTGTTTATATTGAAAAAAACCTTTATACATAGATTAAAATTTTACTTAGATCCGCCTCTTCAAACAGCACAAGAGCCCAGTCAAACCTGGGACGTCATATGACAACGTTAATAACACTCTAAATTAGATATTTTAACTGCTTTTTGTTTCCTAAAAGCTCTGTAAAAACTAAATTTTTACAATAACTGCTATTCTGCTCTTTGTTATTCTCACGTGGTAGTAAATGGATTCTGAAAAGTTTCACACATAAATGTGATTGACGAATGAACATATTTTCGTTAGAATTTCCTCTGTTCTTACACGTTGGTTTTTAGAGGTCGCTGCCATCACTTTTATTTGTACTTGCACTATAAATCATAAACGGAATGTTTTCACAGATAAGAAGGAAACGATGGTTTGTCCGAATGTGCCTTCAAAAGGAATGAATTACCCTGAAGCAGGAAAAACAGGTACCTTATACCTTAAGTCTTATTTATTTGATTTTGATATTAAGTACTCTCATTACCATTTTTCCGAAAAACATTGTGGCGAGTGCTTGAAAGTTGTTATAGCTGTTACAATTTCTATTTTTGTTAATGCAATATCAATTCTGCATGTTCATCAATTCATGTTTTACAGGAATTCAGGGTCGACAGTTCTTGGTCTGTTTTACTGACAATCATCCATACGCTAGAAACCAAAGCAAGACAATATATATTTTATCGGATGAAGATTTTGAGTTTAAATTGATTTCGAAGTTTTTAGATTCAACACAGCTTTACAAGGAAGTGTTGACACAATCTAGAAACTTTAAGGAGTTAAACCTCACAAATACGATTGCACTGTCTGATTTCAAAATTGAACAAAAAGCACTACTGATAGAGACGACGCAGGACGTGTCCGTTATCATTATTGATAATTATATGCACTCGTCTGATAGTACCGTGGTCTTACCAATAAAGTCAATATCGAATTCATACATAATTTCTTCTGCCTATAGAGAATTCAACAATTCCCTACCAAATTCACAATTTGCAATAGCTTCCCGAGAAAATGGTACTCTAATCAAAATTTATTTTCATTTTGATCCTGACTTGCCAATGAAAATAAATGGGATAACATATAGAAATGGCAGTGCAATGATTTTTGTTTTAGACGAGCTTGAAACATTTCAAATATGGCATAAAGTAGATGCAACAGGGACATTAATCCATGCATCAAAGCCTGTCGCAGTTTTTTCTGGCAGTCACTGCGACAAAATTGCTTTTGAAAACAGCACTGGTTTTGGAGCTTGCAGTAAGCTTGATGAACAACTTCCACCTATTGATAGACTGGATAACATGTATATAGTCCCACCTAACTATAACAGGATGGGAACAGTCCTGAAAATCGCGTCTCCTTTTGACAACCGCATTATATATAAGATTGGAAATAAACAAGGAGAAAAAACACTTAAACCGAATGGATACTTTGAAATAACTTTTTTGAAGGATGAAATTGTTGTTATAGATTCAGAAAAGCCTGTTTTGGTAACTAGTTTTTCTACTGGATCGTACATCACAGGTGACCCTTATATGATAACTGTCCCAGGAATAAGGCAGTACACAGATAAATATCTAGTGACAGTTCCTGAAAATTTTGAAAAAAGTTACATTGCTCTGATGGTAGAGGAAAAATCAATGTACAACCTTGTAATAAATGATACAGAAATCATACAGTACTTGAACGACAGAAAATTCTATGCCATCGTTACGATCAAGGACATCAAATTTGCTGTGCTGATTTTACAAGTGTCAGGAGGAATGTTAAGAATTAAATCTACAAATAATGCGGCTTTCGGGTTGGTCGTGTATGGTCATAGACGAGCCGACGGTCACGGGTTTGCAGGAAAAGCAGTACTACCTGACACATGTGTTAACGTAAATGAATAATGCAAAAGTTTTTTTTTTTCTAAATAATTTCATTTTGTCTGTGACATCATTGATAGATTCTTCATCCGGAATAGGTATCGGGGGCAGATCAGCTTTTATGATGGTGGAGAAGATATAACTATCGTGATTGATAATATAAAACGATTTAGAAAAATGTGATGATATTCAGAGAGAAGAATGTACTTTAAAAACGTATAATTCTCTACAAAGTACCATATTGATTTTATTTTTTAAACTGTTATTTGTTACTTTCAGGTTTTATTTGTGTTTTAATGAGTGAAAGTTATTCAGAGGAAAAAAAATTATGAGACCTTAAGAATATCTAGCCATGAAGTCTGAGCACAACATGTAAAGGAAAAGGGATTTTAAATAATGGGCATGGCATAAAATCTACCATAGAGCATAGTTATGTGTATAAAAAAAAAAACCCATTTTTGATGGGCTTAATTGCACATTTTGTCATAATTGATGTACGTGATGCAAATAAATTTTGCGGCACATTTCATTCTTTATTGACTTTTCCATTAGATACCGGTAGAAGAGCAAAAAGATTTATTTCTTGCAGTGCAAAATATTGTGTTATGTTTTGTTTTCAATGGATTCATGAATGAACGCCTCAACCCATTATTAATTACACTTTTGACTTACAAATTAGCGGTAAGCGTGAAACATGAACATGTACCTTTTCAGAAATGAAGGTTCACACATACTAACCCGTGTTTTTTTTTCTTTCTTTTTTCCCCGGTGATTTGCATTGGAATTTCAGTGGTTTTATTTTTGTTTCTTTCTTTTTTTCCCCGATGATTTGCATTGGAATTTCAGTGGTTTTTTATGCATGCAAGTTGTAGGGTAACCTTTGCAAAAATTTGAACAAAAGCACGTTACTAATAATGAGGTTAAACATTTTAAAGAGTATACGGAGAATCGCAGAAGACAAGGTTTGCTTCTTTAAAAAAGTGTCAATTGTGAAGAGTGCAGCAGCTCATCATTTTTAATTTCAGACGATTTCTTTTAATTTGAATCAGAGACCATTCGTTTATATTATATAACTTTGTGAAATCCGGTAATCTGATTGGTCAATACGAAGTCATTATTTTTTTTTATTATGACCGTTGAAAGCGAATATTGACTCGCACGAGCTGTCTCGTTTTCACTTTCGCTTCGATCAAATATGGAGTCGAAAGATACGCTTGCGAGTTGTAGTGACTAAGTGAGGAAGATTTAAAAGATATAATGAAGAACTCAGAGGCTGAGAATACGAAACGATTAACAAGGATATCTGTTAACATTTTTCGGGAATACTTACTTTCTAAACAAATCAGTGAAGAATTTGAAGGCTAAACGTGTGAATAACTTGATCGTCTGCTGCGGAGATTTTATGTTGAACTTCGGAATAACAAAGGGGAAATGTACAAAAAAAAAGCCCACTCTCTTACCATATCGTCAGGATATACAAAGATTTTTGCAATCTATTCGACCAGACGTTGACATTATCAAGGGACCATTATTCCGAGAGTAAAACAAGTTTTTTAAAGGTAGGACTCCCGATTTTCAGAAATATTATCAGCTTATATTAATTTCACGAATTATCTAGTCATTGAGCATACTCGTTTTGGTATTAGTTTATGAGATATATTTAGAGGATTGAAAATTTTATTTATTTTTTAATAAAAAATAGGGATGACAATGAAATTGAAGAGGCAGAGGCAGGCTACCATATAGTTAGAATAATAGACCACCACCCTCCAATATCTGATGCTGACTTGATAAAAATGTATGACTACCTTTCAAGCTCTGACTCGCCCCAGGTGTTGCAGCATATGTGATATCAATTTTTAATTTATTTTTTGTTATTCATGTTGTGATAGATTTACAATTATTGTTATTGTTAATTATTAAAAGCGATTCTCTGTAACCACTTAGACTTCTTGCCACGCATGGTCACCGATTTTGATGAAACTTTGCCCATTATTACAACTTGACACCAGAAACATATATCAAATAAAATTTCGTTGCTATGTGTCTTTGTTGCCATGGTAACAGCCAGAAAAGTTGAAAAATTGAGATTTTCAGCTACTTAGAATCTTTCTTAAGCCTTAATAAAGAATAAGAATAACAAACAAACCATTCTCCCCAAAACCTGACACCTTGTTGCCACTTATGCTCTAAAGAAACTATTTAGAATTTATCTCTAAGTAAGTGGTAACCATGGGTACATTTGGAATACATTTTAGATGCTGAAAAACGCAGAAAAACGCTCAATATTCACTAGTGATAGGTGTTAAATGATCAAACTCAATCAACAACCTAAGAAAAAACAATAAAAATATTTGACCTTAAGTAATTAGGTATTAGCAATATTATTCTAAAAATAACTTTCATGGTTGCCATGGTAACACAGTGTTACCATCCAAAATGTGTTGCTAAGATTGGGTTAATGCTACTATCTTCAGGAAAAACAATTTCATGACTGGCACATATATATCCTTAGGATCTTGTAACACCGGAAACATAAGAAAAATTGGGATTAATTGTTACTTTGCAGTGTAACCATGGAAACAATGTATCAGTTGTTAAAAGTGATATTTTTTTGCTGCCTTAGGAATTTACTTACCTTTTTTTCACGAAACATATTATTTGACTCACCTTGAATAGTACTTATCTGGTAAAACTAAAGTTCAATATCATATATTGATAACGTTTGTTGAAAAATACAACACTGTTGCTATGGTAACCAAGAAGGGAAAATGTTCGATTTTGTTAATTTTATATCAATATTAAACCCTGTGTGCCAGCTTTTTGCATCCAGTTAGAGATTGGGTGGCAGTCAAAATTGAAAGTCAGGTTAGTTGTTCATAATTACCAATCATAAAAGTTTTGGGAATCTACATACAAGGGTACGTATCCAAGGAAACAGAATATTTTTCTGATTTTTATGCATATTTTTTCGGCTTATTTCCATAGCAACGCTCTATTTAAATAATTGAATTTGCATTTTTTGAAATGTGAGAATTAGGGTCACATGAACATCTTTAAAAATTGACCATTAGTTATATAGAAATATGCTTTTTAAAAAGATAGGATTAGATCACTAAGAGAGTAAATTTAAAATCCCTTCTTGGTATTAAAACCATGGCAACCATTGCCAACCTATAAGAAATATCATATTTCTTCCATGGTATATGTTACAAGGATCTTTTGTCTATTATTTGCTTGTATTTCAACCTATAATTTTTTTTTATTCTTAAGTGTATGATGTTATAAAATTAAATGAGCAAAATTATTACTTTTGAATACTTTGTTTCCATAGTAACGTATGTAATAGTTAATTTACCAAACATGTTTATCATGCATTTAAGACATCAGGCCTTCAACTTTCAGAAACAATCATTACCACTTGTTTGCTTTGCTGCAAACGTTAACTGGGGGACTCTGAACATGTTGAAAAATGCCATTTTTCAAACTTTAGGACATTTTGCCATGGTAACCATGTCACGTAGCAACCAATTTCTGCCTGATTTGAGTATCAAAGACTTTTATCATAGAGAGTTTGGAGAAATTCTGAGACTATGCGTGCCATAGCTTCTATATAAAAGTTCAAGTCGTTACAGAGAATGGCTCTTAATATGATTTCTGTTACACATTATGAGGACTGTTGCTCAATGAAAGGAAACTCTGGTTGTTAGATTTGGAAGTAAAATTCAATAAATTCTGAAACATTTTCATTCAACTTATTTATGGTTTACAACAACAGCACATAACTATCTCTGTAAACATTAGGAAGATGTACATTGAACTAATAAATTTGGGAAATTATATAATATAATAAGTATAGACTCCATGCACGGTCAATATGCATTTATAATGACCCAGAATGACAGATATTGACCTCAGATACATGGACAATATCGACCTCGGGCTAGCGCCCTCGGTCGATATATTCCATGTATCTTCGGTCAATATATGTCATCCTGGGTCTTTATAAATGCATATTGACCTACATTGAGTCCATATTTGTATAATAATTATCTCTTAGAACCGGTGTACTATTAGATTCTTCCACAACCTACAAGCTGAAATTTATATCTTTCAGAGTATTTTAATACATTTGCATGCCAAATGCGAAGTTCACATACAAATTTATTTAATTTTTATCACTTGCAATTTTGTCACGGAAGGCGTTGGCACGATAAAGATCCCTCACTGCTCAATGGTCCTGAGAGCCGAGTAAAGGTCAAAATTTGAAGCCTTTCGCCGGTATATGGTGACGTCTCTATATGAGTGAAAAAAAATTCTCGAATGGGACGTAAAACAACATACAATCAATCAATCACTATGATCATATGTCACATACACGAAACCTTGTCACTGCGCTGTTGAATACGCAATAAGAACTATGTACACTTTCAATACACTAGAAGACCAAAAAGTATATTGCTTTGGCTCAATTTCATTAAAAACAATTAACCTATCAAAATTATTGAAAAAAATATAACATTTGTATGTTTAAAATTATTTGTCATTATTCCCTCGCAATATTGATTTGCTTTATTTAACATTCTATTTCAAAGATCCGAAACGCGATAATTTTATAATGATGAATGAAATTAACGACAGAAAATTGGAGAGTATAAATATATGTGCATTGAATTCTTATTATTGGATGACGTCGGTCGTACAACAACACCTGTTCGTACCGACAAATTATCATACTGCGCGGTATATAATTTTTCGACACGGCGTGGTGCTTTAATACTAGCGAATCCAAAAATAACAATTCAATGTTTAAAATGGTCCGCCTTTAATTCGACAAGAGTCATGTCATAACGTTAGTGCATGTCTATCACATTATGTGACCAAATTTAATCTATAATTTTAAAGCAAATTGAGTTTAACAGTTTTCTTTAATTTTATTAAAACATTATGAAAAATATCGTCGGTCAGTAAGGATAAGGATACCTTCAATATTATTAAACGATATCTTTGTGCCTGTTCTGGTAACAGGTAATGAAGTAGTAACTATTAAATATTTACATCAATTATTATCTCCTTTATTTCTCAAGAAAACCATTGCCGTTTATCAGTCAGTAAACAACGCTTAGCATATCATCTGTACAGATTTCTTGAGCAATGGCTATTCCATCAATGAAACGTTCAATGATGTACATATCAATAATACAATATTTCATCTACTAAATCCTACTTAAAATGATTATTTGCACAGATAAAAATATAAGCAATAAAATGCCTTTCTTTGTTTGTTAGTATGGGAATTAACGTTGCAGCTTTTGCAGAAAAAAATTACATAAGGCGCTTACGGGGGTTATGCATTTTTTTTTTCTGCAACCGCTGCAACATTAATTCCCGTACTTACGACCAAAGAAAGCATTTTTATTGTTTGTTTCCCTCTTGTATTTTTATCAAAATTGTATAAAAACAATTTCTTAACTGAAAGGAACTCCTGACAAACATTGTCGTCTAAGATCGTTTTTTCTTCTTAGCCAACTTCATGCGAGAAGAAAAAGACAAACAGACAAGAAATTACTTTTTTCATGGAAAATCCAAAAAAAAAAAAATTAAAAAAAAATAAAAATCATTAAGGACACTTGCTACAAACTACGAGGACTGATCAAAAAGTTCGCAAACTATCTCTATATTTTCAAAACTACTATTCAGATCAAAATGAAATTTGGCACACATATAGTCATAAACATGTTCTATAAATATTGTAACGTAATGTTTTGCTCCATTTTTGTGACGTCACAATGTGGAAATGACGTCAATATGTAGATGACTTGTGACAAAAAAATGGTTGACTCGGTTAAACCCAAGCAACGAACGGCCGTAAAGTTTAACGTATATCTTTGAAAGTCCTTTACAGTAGCATATAATAATTTGTACAACGTTTATGAAGTCAAAGAACTTGCCAGAAATTCAAGCATTATTTACATTGATTGATTTAGTGAAGGAAGGGAGATGGCTAAAATGATATTTGTTCTGGTGCCCAGTGACAGTTAGCTGGGGAAGAGATATGTCCTTCGTTGAGCAATTTGCTAAGAAAGATTGCCAGGTTACAGTTAAAATATAGTTGAATATATTAAAAATATTATAACTATTAAATCCCTAAAATACCGTTTACTTAAGACTCTAAACATATCAGATATGATAAAAAGAAGGCGCCCTTACTTTATCCACGATGGAAAAACGACGCACCATAGACGGAGAAGTCGGGCTGTGATGGTCACCATGCTCATTCTAGGAAAAGATATTCTTATTCACCCATCCTATTGCCGATATTTGGCCATTTGTGACAAATGGACTATTCTTGTTTTAAAAAATAACTTGCACATAAGAAATACAAGACTCGGAAAAAATCGTTTAGCTTCTGTGAACAGAACGCTACGGAGCATGTCACGTGGCAGCCAGGATCAAGTGATTCGCGCATGGGCAGAACGGTGGAAGATATGCATTAAGATCGGAGAGGACTGCTTTAGAAAGTAATGAACACTGAAATCTAATTTTATTTCTTTTATGGAAAATTAGTTCGCGAACTTTTTGATCACCCCTCGTAAAATAAGTGTATGACTTTGTCTATATTTAACATGATGCAAATAACATACTCCTGAAATACTGAGAAATTGCAAGTTTTCTATGATGTGAAAATTCACACTTTCTGCCTTTTCCCTTACAAATCTTTTTTTTTTTTCCCCTAATTTTACAGGACACTGGGGAAATCTTGAATAAAAATAATCTATTTTATCTATAGACATAGATCTAGTTTCCATTTCTCATGATTTGAAAAAAATCATTCGTTTGTAGCAAGTGACCTCAAAATCAATATGTATTTTAATCATAGAAAAATGGATAAAAATACAAAGACAAGTTTATATCTCAGTGTAATCTTTTTTCAAAGGTGAAAAAAAAATTGCAGCTGTTGATCATGAGCTTGTACGGTAGAACATGTAATTTTTTAATGAGGTCCAGCCAAGGATTATGACTATGCAATCTTAATACTTATAGTATATAAAACCTTTTTTTCTTTTGAACCCAGCACTCTAAACACTATTGATATTAATCGGAATGCATATGTGAAGGAATGAAATCTGTATCAAAAACTTATTCAATTTGCAAAACTTCACATAGAAATCGCTTATTGCTTTAACAAGAATAATCATTCCATGATCTTCCTTCAGTTCCTTTGAGTTCCAGACAATTTTCAATACCACCGATGTTGTTTGGCTCTTTGGGACGCCAAAATGTAATTGTTATATTTTTATTATTATAGACACCCATTTCCAAACACGTTCGGATTCTTTATCCGTGCCTCCTACCCAAACGCCATCTAAAATGTAAAAAAAAAAAAAAAAGATATACAACCGTCCAAAAAATAATAACAACCCTTTTATTGGTATAAAATATTCTGAAATATACGATAATAATTTAATTCTTGAATGTATGTACATGAAATATCTTAGGCAAATATTTAAAAAAAAAAAAAAACTACGAGAGCAAAGAATGAAACATATTCAAATATACCATTCATAATTTTAAGAAATTTCACTCAAATACTGTAAATGTATTCATCATCAAGTCTTACACTAGGGGGTGGGGGCATAACAGCATGAGCATTTCTTGTAAAGTGGACATTTTTTGGCTGTATAGACCTGAACCTGCTTTTTAAAAGTTTTAGTGCAATAAATCATTTTCAAACTATTTTCTTTGGTTAAGAAAGAAAAACTCTATCCAGAAATGATACAGAAGTCGCGTGAAGACACAAAATGGCAATTACTGCAGCTATGCACATTGCAAGGTCAGTACATTAACTAAAGGAAAGTCAAAATTCTGAATATTTTTTTTTAATTCTTAATTTATTTTAGTAAAACAAAGGTGGTACTTTTAATATGTGAAAATAGAATTAAGTTCATTTCTTCAAGTATAAAAAGGACTCTTATGGAAATCCATGATAAATTAATTCATTCCTAAATATTGATTAAATTTATCTATTTTCGTTTCTGAATTACATTCTTAGAAACAAGGAAATATTCTCTGACCGTTTACGTTGAAGGTGTGTCATATTTGAATTTTAATTCCTTTATGCCACTTGGCAAACTTTTTACTCTTAAAAAAATCAGCTTTTAATTAATTTTTCTTTTGTCCAATACACTGGTGAATTGGACAAAAGAAAAATTAATTAAAAGCTACAATAAATTTAGGCCTTGGAATTATTTCAGCTCATACAGTCTTTGTTTAATTTCAATTCAAGTGCATATTCACTATATGTCAAGAAATCAACACTTCATACGAAGAAAACAAATAAAAACAATGCATCTAGATTACGAAATAAAGTCAACGACAGTGTAAAATTTGAACCTTCGGTAGTGTTAGCTTTACTCAGAGTGAACCTGAGGATGAAGGTGTTTTCCTCCTCAGTTTCAATTTCTGCTAAATTTCCGCAAATGTTAGAACACCATGCCTAAAAAAATAGGTATTCAATACTTGTATTAAAGTAGTTTCATATTGATTCTTATGTCAAAATACAATATATAATTTGATTGGTATGATATCGTATAGAGGTTTTTTAATTTGGTGTAAAATTTGGCGTTTTGCTTGCTCAAGGGTATGCCAAGAATTTGGCGGAACATTTTTGGCAGACAGATAGTTTCATGACGTTGCAAAAGAAAGGAATTTAATCTTCTAGATGAGTTTTCGGTACGTTTTATATACGTTTAAAAGAGTTTGAGTAAAACCAATGCCATATGAAAGATATAAAGTTTACTAATCAAACTTATCTTGTATTGAATTAGACCTTGACCACTTAACTTTTTCTCAACTTTTTAATTGTTGTATTGATGTCCTGCCCCAATAATTATGGCGTTTGAACTGAGCACATATTTTGATGGAACAATTAATGGTGATGTTTCTAGACAAATCGCTAATAAATAAAATACAAAACAAAGCTAAAGTGAACATCGTAAGCTCGTAAGAACTCATTCAGTGGATGCAGATTAATTCTCCTTAAAGACAGAAAACGGTGAATAATAGAAAATGAAGTTTGAAGATTGATCGTTTGTTGCTTTACATTCCTTGCGAGAATTTTTCACTCATATAGAGACTCAACCGTATACCGGTGAAGGGCTTCAAATTTAGACCATAACTCGGCACTCACGGCCATTGAGCAGTGAAGGATCTTAATCGTGCCAACGCCTACCTTGTCAAGGGGTCCTCGGTTTTTAAGGTGTCATCCGAAAGACCTGAAACTTTTACTTCAAAGTGCTGAGCGCATGGCTAAGGAACAGTTGCAACCTATTTTTATCGACTTAGGTCAGTCACAGCCGGGGTGAGTCCGAAATATCTGACGTTTTCCAGGCTTTTTTTCACGATTATGATATTTTACGTGCCAGGAAAACGTCAGGACCGGCGCCATTACCAAAACTGGAAATTCGCCGTGTCCAACTGGAGGCGGCATTCTCGGGTTGATTTTCGACACTTGCGAACCGATTTAAATGCTGAATTAACAACTTTTTAAAAATACAATGCCTTTAGTACTCACCAACATCGTTTTTATGGGTTTGTTTATGAAATATACAGTCTGGTGAAAACATTTTATCAGACGGTCGAGTTTTCTTTTCATTTCGTGCATTTTAAAATCTTGCAAGACCTGTATCGAAATGTGGAGTGATATTTTCTTTTCATTGATATGGGTGAGTACTAGAAGCATTGTGTTACTGATAAATTGTTAGCTCGGCATTTAATTCAGTTCGCAAGTATCGAAAATGAGCCCCGGTTTGAGACGGTGATTTTTTCAGTTTTCGTAATGGCGCCGGTTCTGACGTTTTCCTGCCACGTAAAATATCAAAATCGTGAAAAAAAGCCTGGAAAACGTCAGATATTTCGGACTAAGCCGGGAATCGACCCGACGACCTTCCGACCAAGGAGCGAGCGCTCCAATGACTGAGCTATCGTGACGGTAAACAAGAATTAAAGTTATGCATATATTTGTCAGAATTTCAAAAAATAAGATTTTGACTGTTAAGATTCGTTAATTTTGAATATTTTTAATCGTTTGTATTTTGGTCAAAAATCTTTCTTATACCCATTGCTTTCAGGGATTAACTATTCATCAGAAATGAGACCATTCCTTCAGTTTTCTTAATGTTACGAAATTTTTTTGAATTTTCGTAAGTTTTCGCCCTTGTTATTAATTCTATTAATTGTTTGTAAAAAAAAATAGTACGTTATTTCTTATTTAAAAAAAAGAGTGGTAAAGTATTATCATTGAATGATTTCCAAGTTATTTCTGTATGATTTGTTAGATTGGTATACATTCAGCACTTTTCTTAGCTTTGTCAAACACAATAAACTACGAATCGAATGCATTGTACGTTAAAATTATGTAAGGTCAAACTCGACAAACATGTTTGAGGTTGGTATAAGTGTGCAAACTACCAGGTTTAACTAGTACTGTGATATACATGTAGTAATAAGTGCATGATCATCACTGCTTATTACTGAAAGAGTGTGTGACTTCCCTGCTCTCGACTTGGCATCTATACTGACAAGTGAGCAGTCATCCCTGTTTGTCAGTGCGCAAGATCAAGTAACTGAACTTCCCTGCTTGATACTTTTGGCAGAACACTGGTGTGGGGATTTGCCTGCCAGTGTTTCTAATCGATAGAACTGATCGACTGTAAGTGGCAAATATGTGGTAATGCTTGCCGTGTTTCTGTGCAAAGTCCCAGCTTATCCCTTGTGGAAGAGTGCTGGTGTATGGACTTCTGTCAGCTCGCTATAGTAACGGTTGACTAAGTGTGTGGACATCCATGGTTGCACTCCGTATTAACCTTATATATACGCAGTACTCACGGCTCGTTTGCTGATGCAATATCAGATTCTGTTCTGTTCAAAATGATTTGTCATGTTAAGAAAAAATGGTTCATGTATTAATGTTGGACATGAAATTAATGTAAAATTTACAAGCTAAAACAAAACTTTCTGTTTCTTTGAATTTATTAAATTAGTTAAAAAAACTCACCAATTAGTCTTTTCTGATCCTCTGGTAAACTGCCTCCTATATCGTACAAAACATTATGAATTCTAATGCAAGAACTGCTGATTTAATTTATTTTTTTTTTTGCATGTGACTGCTATAAATAGCTTTCATTTTCAAACGGATTTGCAACTAATTTCATAGGGATGCTTTAATATCAATATTGCTTTGTTGTTTTGTAAAAGATTTTTACCCTGTATTCTAGCATTATGTAATATAATCTGATTTCCGATTTATCCCCACCCTAACCCCAGGGTCCATAAATTGAATTTTAAAAAAAATGAAACAACAATGAAATAGTTGCATACGGATTGATATAGTATTGTCTTACTCCTTTTTAAAAATATGTTCCTACAATTTTATACAAAAATTCTGAACCCCTATTTTAACCCTGCCCTTGGGATACATTCTAAACAAACTTTAATCTACATTGCCTAAAGATGCAAACACATTAAGATTAATATGGTCTTGCTGTGCTCCAGACATTCTTTTTAAAATTCTTTTTCAACTTTTGTTATTCCAAGTAGGACTTTGATCTCCGATTGTGGCCTCACCCACATTGGGACATGATTTGATCAAACTTCTGTCTACATTACCTCAGGATGATTGTTTATCAAGAGCCAGTTGTTCTGGAAAGAAAGATTTTGAACGATTTTCCCTATATTTTACTACATAAACTAATGTCCTAATGTGTTATTTTAATAAACCTTAATCTACGCTACATGAGGATGCGAAAAGGTCGAAAATGATAAAAGCTTGTACAGTGCTTTCAAATTTAACCCCAGTCTGAGTATTTTCAATGGATATTTCGTTTTTAAGCTAATGCTTAAATTGCAGAGAACAATTCTTGGAAGAAAAAAACATGATGTTATATCTTACCGCAGCTCTTACGGAGGTTAACAGCAAGCAATGATATCATCGTAACAAAACCATGCAATTATCAAAATGATACTGATGATAATGGCAAGCCATGTTTTCATAGATCCGTGCTCATTTATTTCTTTTCCAGTCCCCCTTTCCTCTTTCGACTTTGAATCATTCGAGTGCTTTTCGACCTTTTAAATGAACAAAAATCCGAATAAAATATACCTTTTCTTTAATGATAAAATGTAAAAAAAAAATTGAATGAAATGAATAAACTATATTGACATAAAGTATTTGAAACACACAAATAAATGCACATATTCTTCCAAAAAACTCAAAGTTCACGCATGGTACTAAGTTGATGAAAAAGAGGGTTTCTTAATCTTTTTTATATCTGACATTATCATTTTTTCCCTAAAAAACAGTAATAATTTCCACCCATTTAGTTCAAATTTGTAATGTTTCAATCTGCTTCTGTCTGTTTTGAGCTCACTTAAGTAGGCTTTTTTTAATTACATTTTGTCTGGTGTCTGTCTGTAAACGTTTCACATTTTAGACTTCTTTTCAGATCCACAAGTTTATTTTAACCAAAATTAATAGCTGCAAAATTGTAATAATTTGAAGATATATAATAAGGTTAACATGACGCTGTTGTTTTAGGACATTAACTACCCACAATGGCTACATGTTGTGGCCGCCATTTTGTTTTCCAGAAACGCTTAAGAATAACAGTAGAACAAAATCAGTCGATAAAAAACGGATTTAGATGAAAATGAATTTAAAACAATAAAGAAAAGAATTAAATACACTTATGAAAACAAACTTTTCAGTGGCCAAGATTAAAGTTGGTCGGTCGCTTAAAATAAATACAAAAAAAAAATTTGATTCAGTCTGACACATCTGTTTCATATTTGGATATTTTACTAGAAAAAGACGTTAATGGTAATCCAACAACCAAGCTTTATGATAAATTTGTTGACTTTACTTTTTCAATCGTCAACTTCCCTTGCTTATGCATCAGCATACCTTCATCACCTACATACGGGGTTTACATCTCTCAGTTGATTCGATACGCAAGAGCATGCTCTACGTATGAACAATTTCTAAAACGATGCAAGTTATTGACAAACAAGTTAATGAAACAGGAGTATCAGCAGTCTCGTTTTAAGTCGTCATTTGGTGAGTTCTATGGTCGATGCAATGACCTTGTCAGCAAATATAATTTATCATTAAACCAAACGCTGACTGACGTTTTTCATACTAATTGTTAGGCCATTATTTACACTTTGTGTCCCTAACAAAAAAATACTATAGTTAACTATATAGTTTATTATAGTTAACTATAGTTAACTATAGTGATAACTTTGACACTATGAAAACTTTGATTTACTATAGTGATAACTTTGACACTTTGATTTACTATAGTGATAACTATGAAAACTTTGATTTACTATGGTGAAAACTTTGATTTACTATAGTGATAACTTTGATTTACTATAGTGATACATGTAACTATGACACTATAGTGATGACTATGAAAACTATGATTTACTATAGTGATAACTATGACACTATAGTGATAACTTTGATTTACTATAGTGATCACTTTGACACTATAGTGATCACTTTGAAAACTTTGATTTACTTTGACACTTTGATTTACTATAGTTAACTAAAGTATTTTTTTTTATTAGGGGTGACCGGTCATCAGGGGATGCTAACTCCTCCATGGCACCTGATCCCATCTCTGATATTTTAGAGGTCCATGTTTGCTCTGCTCCAAAATTTGTATTTAATGGACTTTTGAGCTTGAATACTGTTCGTTATCTCCAAATATTTCATTCATTTAATTTAAATATATCTATATATATCATAATGTATATTTCCTTACGTTTTTGTTTGTTTGGTTTTCTTTTCATTAAAACAATTGAAAGTTGTCCTTACTAATTCTTCGTCCATATTTTCTTTCTCTCTTCTAAGTGTTTCCTTTGTGTTTCAGTTTATTTGTTCTGATATCTCTAAAACACTATACATGACACCACTAATTAAATAAGAACTGCTTCTAAATTAAATCAAAATCTTCATCCAACACTACGTATATTATATTGATATTTAACAGGTCGAGGAATCTACCTTATATGGATATTGTTGTCCTTGCGCACAGCGGTGCTTACAGCAAACAATCGTCCAATCCAATGAATGAGCCGAAAAGCATGATAGGCTACTACATGTTTGTATTTTACTACAAACACGTGGGTCAAGCAAATTTAGGACGCTATTTCAAATGACTGCGGGAAAGTCAACTAATAATTATTATTAATGTTTTTGTGAAAAATACGAAGATTAATACAAAATAAGATTTTCCATGCTCACATTAACAAACAAAGTCAATTTTCCGTGTTAATTAGGATGTTGAAATACCGCTCACAAGGTCTTAACAAGTAAATAGGAATCCAGTTTATATAACTTGATATTCGTACATTTGCATTGCTTTTGGTGTTATTCGTTGTTGCTTTATTATTTGTTTAATAGAAATTAAAAGTTAATGCATTTATTTAAAAAAAAAAGTAAGTTTATTGCTGCACGGCATTTATTTTACACAGTAATCTTCATGTATTACAATTAATCTCATGTATATTGATCATAGAACGTGTATTGAGTAGCATAAGGATCGTAGTAAACAATGACAATATGTGAGTACACCTCAGAGTCGATTGTTTTGGACCAGGGAATAGTCACGTGAAATTCATATTCACTGATAGTACAGCTCGGGAAAAGCTGCCAGGCAATTGTCAACAAACGAACTTGTACAATGGAGTGTAGAAAACCCAGATTTTACCGTTGTAAAACATTTGTATGTAAATGTGAGCATGGAATTCGTAGATAATGATGTACATATATATTAAGTGTGTAAAATATGTGGATAAATGCATCATGTCTTTCCGAGAGCTATTTGAAAAACTGGCCTTTTCGAAACGTACAAGTAGTATTTTTTGTAGTAACCCATAATGCAACTCATTTAGCTGATTGGTTGGTTTGTCAGTCACGTTGTTGCCTCATTTAACATGTAAATTTATTCTGACGTCACAGAAAATGGTTTCCTCGACCTGTTTAAGGTGGATTAGTTTTCAATTGAAATGTTACCATTTTTTAGGAGAGACAGAAAAATATAGACAAAATGAATATTAAATGAAAATTAACAGGATTCATTTTTTTCCAGGTTACTTCTTTTTAATTCTTCTTCCCAGAGTATATAGACATGGAACACAAAATGTTAATTAACACAAGTTAATGAATGACCCCCCCCCCCCAAAAAAAAAAGAAAGAAAGAAAAGGATATATTCCGAGATCAAGAACAAGTGATATCAAAGGGCATTAATCCACATAATTATAAATAAATGTCTTGATCCCACTGAAAACAAATCAATATAATTAGAGGGTATTTATCTCAAATACGAAATTACATACTCAATCATTTCAATTCAAAGCAATTCAGATAAAATAATGTTTAATAAATATTAATTACCTTTTTTATGTTTGCCTCAAAACGTCGCTGATCAGACTCTCTAGGATACTCTACAAAACGGAAGGAAAAGTGAAGCTAATCCGTAACAAACTTACTTTTTAAGCGAATACAGCATAATATGTTAGATGGTGCGACCATTATGAGGGCGGAGCTATCAAGATAGCATATCCATTCTCTATATTTCATTGTCTGGTACTAAAACATATATCAACACTGATCAATAATCAATGCCAAGTCCTCCCCCTCCAAAAAAAAAAAAAATTAAAACACCACCCTTGTCCTACTGGTCATTCAATTACTAGCATGGGAATGGGTGTTGGTTTTGATAAGACTGGTAGAACCGTTACTCAGATATTTTATTACGAATTGTCTTGCCACGTCACTGCTTAAGCATTCATATGAAAGTAAATCTGGGGAAATATAGTAATATGCAAGTATAGTATTCAATTTAATTTACTGCAGCATAAACATTACACATAAAAATAGTCATGTAAAAATTTGTATATATTTATGTCTCGTGACACTAACTCCCTGTTCATCATATATTATTAGTAATGGATTTTATACACTATTTTGCTGCACCTTGGGTCCAAATTGGTAAAATGAATTTTCCATTCCATTATATATTTTATTAACCCTTGAACACAATTTGGAAGATTTTTATGTTGGTGAGTCTCAGAGAGCAGAGTTGAGGGTGCTATCAAATGTAATCTGACTCTTTAATAGAAGAATTACCATGAAACAAAAAGAAACTAACAAATAAATTAAAAAAAACAAAAACAAAACAGACCACACATGCAAATGTATATTAACAAGCATGAAAGCAAATTCGTTAACAAGAATAAAAATATTCAGATGAAAATTTTGAACCCTTTATCACCCCCTCCATCTAACAAAAACAAGTGAAGAACCTAAAAAAAAATATCCGCCTAAAAGTTCCAGAATGTTTACGATGTGTGTTTTTCATTCTTGGAAATAACTACTTTCAATAACACAGAATTAAACTCAGAATTGGCATAAAGTTACGATTCACAAGCTTCTCGGTTAGGCGAGTTTTGTCGCGAGATTCAAGATGGAGAAGACTATGTACACCATTTGCAACAACTGGCAACAAGGTTCTCAGTTCCATAGGTATTACAAAAGAAAATAAAGTGTACAATAAAATTCTATGTATTGTATATGCATACGTGTTACCAATATGAAAAGCTTCGCTCGTCAGTTTCTGCCCTCTTTTATATTTTTATGCCCCCATATCGAAGATTCGGGGGTATATAGTTTTTATCCTGTCCGTCCGTCTGTCTGTCTGTTTGTCCGCAAAAACTTGAACCTTGCCATAACTTTTGATTTGTTGGATCTATGACTTTCATATTTCACATGTGTATTCCTTGTGACAAGACCTTTCTTTGGGTTCCATCATATTTGACCTTTTCACTTTGACCTTGGAGTTTGACCCACTTTTGCAAAATTGTATGAGACTTTAACCTTGGCCATAACTTTTGTACAGATGGTGCTTGGGGTTTTAAACTTCACATGTGTATTCCTTGTGACAAGACGTTTCTTTGGATACCAACAACTTTGACCGTTTGACCTTGACCTAGGAGTTTGACCTACTTTTGAAAAACTTTAATCTTGGCCATAACTTTTGAACGGTTGGTGCTAGGGCTCCATACTTCACATATATAATCCTTTTGACAAGACCTTCCTTTGGATACCAACCATTTTGACCCTTTGACCTTGACTTAGGAGTTTGACCTACTTTCGAAAATTTTTATCCTTTGCCATAACTTTTGAATGGTTGATGCTAGGGCTTTCATACTTAAAATATGTAATCCTTGTGACAAGGCCTTCCTTTGGATACCAACTACTTTGACCCTTTGACCTTGACCTAGAAGTTTGACCTACTTTCGAAAAACTTTAACCCTGCCATAACATTTGAATGTTTAGTGCTAGGGCTTTCATACTTCACATATGTAATCCTTGTGACAAGACCTTCCTTTGGATACCAACAACTTTGACCTTGACCTTGACGTTTTACTTACTTTTAAAAACTTTATCCTTCGCCATAACTTTTGAACAGTTGGAGCTAGGGTTTCAAATTTCACAGGTATATTCCTCGAGACAAGACCTTTCGTTGGGTACCAACATTTTTTTATCTTTTGGCCTGGATTTTGACTTGCATTTCAGAAACTTTAACCTGCGCCATAAGCTGCCATACGGGGGCATCAGTGTTTCACAAACACATCTTGTTCTTTACATTTATTGTCCAGATAACTAGTCTAAAATCTGTAACCTAACTGATCGTTTCAATTTTACTATTAGTAGATACATATAATGTGAGAATCTTCAATGCCTGATACAAAAATAGAAGGTTTACAACATTTACATATCTTCAAATTTGCAATATGAAAACTCGAATTTAGTTTTTAAAAAATAAATCATTCAGAATGATGTTCCCAAGATAACTCCTTCATAATAATTATTTTAAAACACACTATTTTTTTTTGGTGGGGGGGGGGAGGGGAGGGGGGAGGTTACATGCAATTATTGAAGAACAATGTTAGTCAAAAATTATATATCTTAATATGATTGTTGTGGGATGCTGTATATATACACTGTACAGCGACGTAAAATAGACATCTGTTGCAAAAGACTGGGAAAAATGTTTCTGGTTTCAGAATATGTATATATTTTTTTAATAAAGAAAGAATTTCAATTTTCAAATACTTAAATGCGACAATTACCATGTGTCCTTTGAGTGCATTATATTAATGTCAAGTACTATGAATTGTTTGATAAGCCGAAGATCCTGTACATATGTCTTTCTGCACTTGTAATGAATACTGAAACTTTTAAAAACAAAGATGATAAAGATAAACGCATTCTTCGTTAAAGCATGTTAAGGAGTTAAGTAATCTACTTTTCACCTACCGTATTATACCACTCGTAAATCAAGTACCTAGAAAATAATTTTTAGCCACAGACCCTAAGGTCGTAGCAACTTAGACTATATCAAGTGTTAATCAGTGTAATCTCTCTCTCTCATCAGTTCTAGCATTTCACGTCTAATCTTCTCAATATCTTGACTTGCTTCGACAAAAGTATTGTCTGATTTATCAAATCATTGCCTTTCCTCTGGTAACCTTTAATTGGTCTCTAATTACAACTACGCTCTTATACGCAAGACATCACCAGGAAATTCATCTTTCATATAAATACATCAATATAAGGATAATGTTCAGTTAAAATGAGAAAATAAAATACCTTTTTTTACCCAGTGTTTTGTTTCTTGAGGAACAGATAGTACACATGTATTTAACTAATTATCAGTACATATGTATTTAATTGTAAGACTAGTAATAACTTGAATTCTAATTCTCTTCGAAACCCAAAAAGTATTCATTTTTGAAATAAAAAGTATGAAACTCCTTATAAATTTTCATAACTAATTATCAGTACATATGTATTTAACTAATTATCAGATAAATGTAATTCTGTAATTTGGTATTAAGCCCAAATCAGCACCCCGCTGAAAACTCGCTAAAATATACAGAATATGTAAGTATTCAAATAGCCACAATTAGGATCTGTAAAGTTTTTTTTTATCAATGAATTGACTAAAAATGAAATCGTTAATTAATTACCAACCATTGAATGCTTTGTGCATTTCCCTTCCTATCTCGATCAAATTTACGCCTTTCCTGTAGAGAAGCTGCAGATCCGGAACTCGCTGGCCAGAAAAAAAAAACTGAGATAGACGACCAGAGATCTATATATTCGGATCAAGGTTTGTATTTATTGCGCACAAAAAAATGTGCATGTTTCTAATTTTCAAGTTCGATCCGTAAATTTAAGCTACGTTCTTACAATTATTCTAATGGAACTTTTTGTAATGTGCATTTTGATTGGCGAATGCACTGATGTTTGAGGAGTTAATGAGCATTAAAGAGAATGAAAGTTTTGATTAAGACGTAATAAAATAACGACGCAATAACACAGCGCTATGTAACGCATTTCATATAACAAAACTCGACAAATTGAAACTTAAACATCCAAAAACAAATGCATAAATTGCATTACAATGGGAGTAAAGGTGTTCTCAATCGTTATTTGCGACTATTAATACTGATTTAACGGTCGCAAACATCCGTTTTAACGGCTCCTCGTGTACACGCGTCGCCGGTAAAACTGCTTGCTTTCGTTAAGTCAGCATTAATGGTCGCAAATAACATTAAATCGATAGATGATTATTGTTTAACGCCGAGTCGGCAATATTTCAGCCATATTTCGGCGAAATAACACATGAGAAGACCCTTATTACCTAGTTACTATTTTTCTACTTCTGCAATTTCCAAAACAAAACATTCTAGACCTCATCAACTTTGCCTTTTCTGCTTCAATTTTATATAATATCTTTAAAACTCAAAATTTATTTTCCTATCTAAAGTTATTGTCTTCTCTTGTGTATTGATTTCTTATCTCATAACCAATAAAGGCCTTCATGAAGGCACATACAGTGGAAACTCCTGTTATAATCTAGTTTAGAACTATATCCCCATACCTTGCATGGGTTTATGTAACTATACATATTACTTAAAAAGGGGGTTTGTTGGATGGGTGGGTTCGAAAGGGAATGGACGTTAAACAAAGAGCCAAAAAGAAAGAGAGAAAGAATATTTGAGAGCATGAAAAAGCAATTGCACTCAAAAAAGTATACCTAGTCTTGTAAATGTTTGTCTCATAACGTTTCATCTATGACCAGGAAACGTTGGGTCACTGACTATGCATGATGCAGTGAAATATTTGCTCACTTTAAGTTCAGGCAATAAACATTTTAGCAAATTTATGAGCAGTCACATATTTTTTTAGTTGACTACTAGATGAAATCCCGCGCAAGCGCGGGGGAATTGAATTATACCACAACCCACAGAAAAATTCCAATAATATATACTGTAGTTTCTACTGACAGCCTACAGGCTTATGGCAGGAAGAAATACTTTGTTCAAATCACTCATTTAGCTTTGGAGCAAATGTAGATGTACCTCCC